GTACTCGTTCTCGTATTCGTACAACAGAAATTATTTTCAAATAATTCCTTATCCTTATGCAAATCATGCAAAATTGTTATATTATTCTGTTTAATGAATTATTATTATTAAGACATATTGAATTAATTGCTGCAAGTTAATTGCTACACTCATTAAATTTGATGAATGTTACCAATATATGAATAAGCTACAATTCAGTTTGAGCAATGAAGCGTAAACGAAACATTGGACCACTAATTTTAAACAGCAAAAAACACAAGTGCAAAAAAAGATTTAATGAAATAAGTGTTATTTAACACTTACTTTGTGCTCAATGGTCGTTTGTAGATTCTTATCCAAATGCACCTTTATAATTTGGGTGCCATCAAATTTGGCACGAATACGTTTGCCTACGATCTCTGCTGGAAACACTAAATCTTCTAAAATAAAATACACAGCAGTTAAACTACGCGAACGGATTATTGCACCGTCTTGTTTTTACGAAAACTTTGTAGTTACTCGTTCACTATCTAAGTCTTTACGGTGCTGATATAACTCTTCCTCTTCAAGTGGTCCTTGCAAACCCTTATGAAATATTTTTCTCATCCACCAGAAACTCCATCTCGAAAATATATTACCGGTTGAGTAGGGATTCTTTGGGCGTTCAATTTTTCTTCTAGTCCGATTCATGTTAAATTTCTTTATTTACAGTTACGTTTGGTTATGATAAACCAAAAATGTAGTAATAAATTCGAAGTTCAAGAAATGAAGATAACCGACACGAGCACCACTCAATATGGTGAATGCAACAAAAATTTTTTAAATCGTGAATAACAGTAAATAGCAATGCAAAAAATTTACAATATTTTTTCAATGTTACAACAAAACTTTATAGACAATGTACGGTAATTATGCGTACTCGTTCTCGTATTCGTACAACAGAAATTATTTTCAAATAATTCCTTATCCTTATGCAAATCATGCAAAATTGTTATATTATTCTGTTTAATGAATTATTATTATTAAGACATATTGAATTAATTGCTGCAAGTTAATTGCTACACTCATTAAATTTGATGAATGTTACCAATATATGAATAAGCTACAATTCAGTTTGAGCAATGAAGCGTAAACGAAACATTGGACCACTAATTTTAAACAGCAAAAAACACAAGTGCAAAAAAGATTTAATGAAATAAGTGTTATTTAACACTTACTTTGTGCTCAATGGTCGTTTGTAGATTCTTATCCAAATGCACCTTTATAATTTGGGTGCCATCCAATTTGGCACAAATACGTTTGCCTACGATCTCTGCTGGAAACACTAAATCTTCTCATAATAAGAATTGTTTGTAAAATATTGAAAAATATAAGTAATGATTTTTCGTTGGAGTATTAGAATAAATATAAGTAAAATATACATCCAACCATAAAGTGGATAAAAAAAAAACAAGTTATTTCCTATATTTGATGAAATAAATTAAAAATAAAACTACTGCAATAAAAATGAGAAAACGAGTTTCTATTTTAAAGTTTGCAGAAAATGATGGAAAAATCACACTTTTAATCATCATTACAAGTAATTTATACTTCTAGATCAGTAGAAATAAATAGAAATATCAAGTGAATTATTTTATTAGTTTAGGTTTTAATTAGACGGTATTTTAATTAAAAATAAAAATAAAATCGCTTATTGTGTATAAATTCTATAATCCCGAAAATGGTACTTACCAAGCCATCGCTGCCATTTACTTCGATAGCTGTTTTAAGCCTCTGCGATAATTGTTCTAATAATCTATCGTATTTTATATTTAGTGCATCGAGTCTATGGCTATAATACTGTGTTGCTCCTGGGTCACTGTCTGGTGGACGTAAGTCTCGTCGTGGTGGTGAGAAAGATGGACGTGCCTCTATAAGCCAATCCACAAAGCGTAGACATTTGGCGTCGTAAATCTTGATAATTGTTCAATTCTTCGCCAGAAAATTTCATTTGGTGCCGCTCGTCATTTACAATTTTAGAGTGAAATTTATCGATAATTTTGTGTTCATGTTGTTGACTATCCAATTCTTCTTTAACAGATGATAAATCTGATCCATAGTCGGCTGCAAGTATTTGTTTCTAAACGAGAAAATATGTCAAATTCATATATAAAAAAAAGTTTTATTATACTGATTATAAGTAAGTGAGTAAACTTTTATGACAAAGAAACAGAATCGGTCAGACCAATGTTTTATTATTCTTCCCTTATTATTGCTATTTTATTTTTATATAAATATTTGGAATATTAGATATTATAAGAATATGTAATTGTATAAGAAAAATAATTTTAAATGCATTAGTGGAACTTAATTTTCCAATAAAAAAAAAAATAAAATAAAATCAATTAAATATTTCCTACTTCACTATATTTCATTTAAGAAGTTTTAAAACTCCATTGCACAAATTAAAAAATTTTTCATTTTTATTAAGGAGTGAAAAAATGCAATATAAAATAAAATAAAGTAACATTAAAAATAATGACAGTCTATCATGTGTTTTCATTGTTGCACAAAATGGGAGCACAAAACAGAAAAAAAAGCAACTGACAAGAAGACCAATGACAAAAAAGAACATTATTGTATGTACCAAAAGCAAAACACGAGAAAAAGAGACGTCACTTTCTTCCAGTGCTCGTTAGAATGGAATAGTCATTCGAATACAGAAACACCAAAAACATATGAAACGAATTGATAAAGGAAACGCGCAAACAGAACAGGCATAAGCAGCAACCGCATGGAAATATGAGCGACACACAACACACCTTTCTGTACCTTGTTTTTGTGTACAATTTGTTTTGTGCACAATCAACGTAAAATCTGCATAACAAAGAAAGACAGTAAAATATTTCCACATTCTTGAGTTTTGTCTTCAACTCCGTACTCTTTTTAATTTACTCTTTTGCGTACAAGCAGTGCGAGAATAGACAAGAAATTTGTGTGTTCTGCTATATATAATAAAATCACAAAATTTTAATTTTATTTTGGAATATAAAAACAATAATTATTGTTAAATAAACTCAAATTTATTTATGTTTTAACTATTTATTTTTAAATATTCACACACAATTTTCAATTTTCGCTGAAAATTTTTCCGTACACTACAGATCGCGACCGTATTGTTCAAACGCTGTAAACGTAATAAAACTGAAACACTGAGAAGTCGTGTATATAAATCAGTTTGTGTGGATTGTATTAGCAAACTTGTATGCAATACAATCCACAATGCTCTTCTCACCAATTGTTTAGTATAGTAACTGTATGATTTATATGCGTTCCTTCTCTTTCGAATAACAAACAAAATGTTATGCAGAAGTTTTACAGTTTATAAAACTGCACAATGAATGTGGATTGTGGAAATGCACTTTAATTGATATATTTTTCGGCTTATTAGTTTTTTTAAATATTTAAATTTTATATAACATGTATAAATATAAATTATTTAAATAATTTTTTTTAAATTTTTTTACAATTTTATGAATTAAATCATTTTTAATTGCAGTTTATTAATATACGTAAATAGTAAAACCCGCAAAGCAGGAAAATGAATTTTTACTTAATAAAATTCAATTAACTCAAAAATATATTATATATTAATTATATCAGCAAAACTAATGTAATAATTTAATAAAATTAAAAATTATAGCAATTTACATAGAAAATAACTTTCATATATAGAAAATAATTATTTTAAAGACATTTTTGACACTGATTTAAATGAATTTCTAGAGTATTCCGATGAATTTCGTCGAAATAAAAATTAAATGAACTCATAAAAGAATTTTTTAGCCGGTAAATTTGTGTAATTATTTACTATTATTAATTTATTAAGAAAAAAAAACCTTTTTTTCTGCAAACTTAATCCTTAAATTAATTCGCAAATAATTTTATTATAAAAAAAGAATTCAATGAACCACTAAAAAGGTTTGATTCATGCATCAAATATATATGTATGTACTTTAGATAAAGTTTTTAAAGTCATTCTAAAATCAATTTTTTTTTTTTTTTGCTAAGGAAGCTATGTAAATATTTAATAATATTTTATAGTATATCTAGATATCGTATAGGCTAATGTGCTTCTGATGTCGCAATTTTTGGCTGCACGTTCAAAAATTTTGTTTTACATGCAGTTCATTTACATGTACATGCGTACATTTTTAAATGCATTGGATTTCAATAATTTACTGCAGGCTTTTAATTAACAAAGCATATAAGTTTTGATTTATTTTGTTTGAGGTAGCTCTGAAATTAACAAATAATAATTTAAGATTCAAAATAGTAATTCTTTGAGGAAATTGGCTACTTCTGCTAACAGAAAGGGAAGATAAAAAGAAAATTTGCAAACATCGCTTGCACAACAAATTAAACAAACTAACAAACACACCATATGTGTGTAGTGTGTAGTGCACGGCCTCAAAAACAAATAACTTGACTTCCAAGACGGTGGCCGCCTAAAATATTTATGTTCTACTCTGTGCAAACAAACAACAGCAAAAACGAAAATCGAAAAACTATATAAAAAAGTTGTTAAATAGAGAAAGAAGAAATAACAGAAACTGAACCGTTTGCTTGCAGTGAGAGAGCAGAGCAAATGATTTTTGATCAAATTCACATACGAATAAGAGTAAAATGACAAGTGCAAAAAACTGCCGCGCAAAATTTATTTGCATAAAATATTTTTTGTTATATATTTGTTAAGGGGCAAACATATATTATAAGCTTATATATATTTAGTTTATTATAATTGTTTAAAAAAAATTTGTAATATAAATTACAATTTTTTTATAAATTAATTTATTAGCGAATATATTGTTTTTCGCCCTTTCTCTATTCCTTCTCTCGTAGTCAGACAACTCTCGCATACACACATCCATTTTCGTTTGGCGCTTCTTGAAATGAAGCAAAGTAAATTTCCAAAGCGAGAATTGAGATTAATATGTCCTCAAGTTTTCCTTTGATTGCAATGCATTCTTCTGTGAAGATTCGGCTAACTTGTTTGCTTTCCTCTAAAAAGTATAATAAAATATTTGAATACGTTTTAAATCTGTAAAATTAAATTTAAGCTAAAATTATTTATTTAGTACCACGAGTTCTACGGCTGGCAAATAATTTCTTCATCACAAACGATACAGAAATAGTTTTAATAAGACACTACTGAAGAGAATACTATTTTCGTACTAAACAAATTTATGTATTCAATCTAACATCAAGTAAAAAATTTACACTTAAATTTAATTGAAATTAAGTTCGTATGACAGTTATTTGATAAAATGTTTTTATAATTGGTGAATATACCGCCTACGAAAAAAATAAAAATAAACTAATTTAATTAAATTAATTTACCTTCAGCTCTAGCGCGTTTTTCAAATTCGTCAAATAAACGATTTACTTCATCCATTTCACGGCGTAAACGTCTTAATTGTGGATCATTTGGATCACCCTCACTTAAAAGTTTATCTGCGTCATCATTGAGTGCATGCCGTATCGCTGTACGCTGTTCTGGACCCATTGCAAGAAATTGGTCAAAGTCCCATCCTTTGACAACACGAATTGTAGCAAAAATCATATTTTGACGTAGACGTAAATGTTTTTTTGCCATAAGCTCACAAAACGATCGAATAACCGTTTAAGTCGTTCAGCAGCATCAATTGCCTCTTGGTCAGGAGGAGGCATTAATAAGCAAGCACTAGGAATTGAACCCTCTTGTCCTATTGAATTACGAATTCTCCATTTAACTCGACTAGAGTTATCGAGCAAGATACAAGTTTCTCCCTTTTCAATTTGTAGTTGACCTTGCTGCTTATAAGCACATATTGCTTGTACAGAGCATTGATTATTTACCGGTTGTCGTCTTTTATATATTGGAACAATTGTTTGAGCCCGATGGGTCAAATTAGCAACAGTTTCACTAAAAGCATTCAATTCTTCACGTAAATCCTGCATACCACGTAATAAAGCTTCACCTTGATCAAGACCAAAATCCGATTGAGAATATTTGCTATTTAAAATGTCATCACGCTTCACGAGTCATTGCTCGGCATCTTTTATTTCAGCAAAAAATTGATGATATTCGGTAGCATGCTTTAAGTGGACTTCAAGACACAGTGTCAACTGAAGCAGCCAAGCCCATTGTTGTTGTAGTACGGCAACCCTCTCAGAGTCCCGGTACAGTTGCTGACAGAAGTCAAAATCAAACCAAGCGAAACAGACTTCGTAAAGTTACTGTGCAGAAACTTAGGTAATGTACGAACTCAACCTGGACTGCGACACGGTCAACAACCAGTCTTAGTACCCAGCGAGCTGTCAGAGAGCAAGTATGTATTCCTACGCATCGATCGCGTTCCGACACCCTTAGAACAACTTTACGAGGGCCCTTATTAGATTATTTATTATTATGAAATTTAAATCAATAAAACAAATCCATAAAGAAAATGTGTGAATTTTATGTTAAATTGAGTGTCAAATTTGATCAAGTGAATATTTTTTTATACAATATTAAATTTAACCGACACGAGCACCACTCAATATGGTAAATGCAACAAAAATTTTTTAAATCGTGAATAACAGTAAATAGCAATGCAAAAAATTTACAATATTTTTTCAATGTTACAACAAAACTTTATAGACAATGTACGGTAATTATGCGTACTCGTTCTCGTATTCGTACAACAGAAATTATTTTCAAATAATTCCTTATCCTTATGCAAATCATGCAAAATTGTTATATTATTCTGTTTAATGAATTATTATTATTAAGACATATTGAATTAATTGCTGCAAGTTAATTGCTACACTCATTAAATTTGATGAATGTTACCAATATATGAATAAGCTACAATTCAGTTTGAGCAATGAAGCGTAAACGAAACATTGGACCACTAATTTTAAACAGCAAAAAACACAAGTGCAAAAAAAGATTTAATGAAATAAGTGTTATTTAACACTTACTTTGTGCTCAATGGTCGTTTGTAGATTCTTATCCAAATGCACCTTTATAATTTGGGTGCCATCAAATTTGGCACGAATACGTTTGCCTACGATCTCTGCTGGAAACACTAAATCTTCTAAAATAAAATACACAGC